AAGAAGGCCATGGTGACGATGAACGGCGAGTGGTACACCGTTCCCGGCGAGCCGCTCTTCGACGTCGGCGGCCATGCCGTGAACATCGTCGGCTACAACGACTACTATCGCGACGAGTTTGGCAATACGGGCGGCTTCATTCTCCGCAACACCTGGAAGGACGGCCTCGGCATCGCTCACGGGCAGGGCACCCGCGGCTCCCACACCGCAAGGTGCCGTCGCCGGATCTAGCCCGAGCACCGCCCGCGCCTGCCCCGCAGACAGGGAGAGGAAACGGGGTCGCCCGATCGCGGCCCCGCCCGTGACCCAGGTACTATAACAAGGATCTCGACGGCGCGAACGACGAGCCGCTGTCGTGCCCGAACCCGCACAGCCCGCGCTCGTGGGGCACGTGCAAGGACCTCGCGGAGTGCAAGAAGCAGGGGGACGACCCGCAAAACAAGGACGGGCTGCTCCGGCTCAAGTGCACCGACACGGGCTTCGCGCTGCCCGAGGGCGCGTGCGACAAGGACGTCGGCTACTTCATGGCAAACCGCACAGAGTGGGGCATGCGGGGCCTATTTGTCACCTGCTTCATCTACGAGGGAGAGCATGGCACGTCGCAGTCCATGTGCCTCCCGCCGCTGACGGTTCGCCCGGCCGACCGCGCCTGTCTGCTGTCTGGAGTGATCTGTCGGCGGTCAGTACGACCGATCAGTCGGAGTTTTCTTATGGTTAGAGGGTCTATCTGTATGTACTCCTCGAGATCTCTCCAAATCTGCCCTCTACTCAACCGTACTCATTCGGGAAGTCGGTGCTCATAGAGACTCATAGAGCCGGAGCCGTCCGCACGCTGCCGGCGCACGGTGTGGCCGGGCCCCCGCCCGCCCAGAGCAAGTGCTCCAAGACAAGACACACGCACTCTCTCACAGACAGCGATCCCACGATTGCGGAGGCATGTGGGGACTACAATATTACGGGGGTGGACCTGATTGACCAGGGGTTGTGCTGGCCCTCCTGCTCGGCTCCAGCCTGTAACAAGTCTTCATCAACAGAGTAGATGGATCACTCGGCCGATGACCGCTGGGCTGTTTCTCCACCCACGTCTCACAG